CCCCCAAAGCATACTGTCCTATTCCCTCGACTAATTAAGGCAGATTCATTCTGAACCAGCCCTTGATTAGCCAATGGCGATAATTCCTAAGGCTATCACCATCCCACCCTCTAGCTATGGAAATTAAGCTGCAGCCTTTTTAGTACATGACCGTCAGGCAAGTATTGCTCATTTCTGAGTAAATATAAGGGCCTAAGGAAAAGCAGAAGGCAGTGGACCCTGGCCAGCTGGGATCCCCAAGCAAGGCGTTGTGAGTAGACCTGGGTCCTGGTTCTTTGTGAACAGTGCTCTCTTTGAGTCTTGAATGGGAACAGAGGCAAGTTAGAAAAGCAGAGGCCTACTGCTGTTCCAACCATTTGTCTCCTTGGTCATAGCACCCAACACTGTGCTGCCCTGGTTGGCAGGGACTCAGCTGACAGGTGGCAAAGTCAGGAAGTCAAGAGAAAGCATTTGGTATTTTGGAGAAGTGCCAAATCTGACTGATGTTCTGAGGTACATGGCGCAGTTGATGATCTCCCCCCTTCTCTCCGGAAGCCCTAAGGCTGGCTGGGGTGCTAGGGTAGAGGCATCCATTAGCTCAGAAAATTAGCTTAGAGCCCATAAAATGTCCCCTAAAAGATTATTTCCAGGCGAATGGGAAATCTGTGTGTGCAAGCAGGTCCAAATTCTGAAATGGAGCAAAACACATCAAGATTTTACTGGTAAGGACATGGCCACAAATTCAGTCTTAGGGATGGGTGTGTGGTAAGCTTGAAACTCAAACCGAGTGTGACACCCTTGGTCCCACCCTGGGCCTCTGACTCAGGACTGAAAGGAAGAGGGAGCTGCCAGACTTTGTGATTTCTATAAACAGTTCTTGAAACAGAAAGAACACACTTGTCTTTCTGCCAGGCCCCCAGTTTCTCTTCGCAACTGACAGTGCAGCCATTGTCTTTTCTCGGACACCCGAGGGCAGGCTCCTTAACTTCGGCTCCATGGACCTCCAAGGGCCATGTGGAGAGAATTTCAGGGGTCTACGAACTTGAGTGGGACACTTATTAGATCTTTCCTCCACTAACCTCTAACAAAAATTTGGCATTTCTTCAAATTAGGAATGTAGGCAACAAGCCATAATAGTATTAGCAGTATCTGTGACTTTAGCCCCAATAGAAAACAGAAATATTCTCATGTCGCCTTACAGTTGTATCTCAGAAAGCTCACTGGTGCTCATCATCACTTCGAAACTCCCAATCTATAGACTTGTCACTAAATCTTGTGATTTAAAGCATTATAAAAGTAGTAATATAACAAAACCACAATTTCTTTAAAATATTTTGTAACTATTTCAACATAATCGGTTTCCTTTGTAATTGTATGTTTTTTTATTTTTTGTGTTTGAAAACATTCTGAGAAGGGCTTTAGAGGTTTCACCAAACTGCTAGAGGGACCTATGACCCAAAAGAGATCAAGACCCTTGATGCTCTCCTGCCCCACTGGCCTCACTTCTGATTCACAGAACTTTCCCTCTGTGACTCGCATGCTAGCGCTATCACATTGGGCAAGTTAACTTTCTGTGCTGTTTCCTAATATGCAAGATGGGGAATAATAACACTACTTACTTTATAGGGTTCTAGGATGATTCCATGAGTTAAATGCAAAGCACTTAGTGACAAACAAATAGTATCAGCTATTTTTATTGTTGTCGGTTCATATCGATCATCTCAGCAATATATCCTATAATTATCTCCATTTTTAGAGAAAGGAAACTGAGACTTAGGGAAAATGACCAACGCAAGGGTGCACGACAAGGAAGTGGCAGCGCCAGGGTTCAAAGCTGGGTCTGTGTGCCTCTCTGTGAGCGTAGTGGAGGTCACTGTCCACCACACCACAAGAGGGCGTGATGGTCCCCAAAGAGCCAGAAGCCCTCGGCAGGGTGCTCAGTTGGGAATGAACAAGCTTTCTCTTCCCCAACTTGGTCCTACTGTCTACACCTCCAACCGGATGGGCGCAGGGGTGCTCCCAGCTTCACCTGCTTGCCGTCAGCCCTCAGCCAGAGCTTAGGAGGCTGGTCCCCCTTCAAATGGCTACTGCCAATGCAGTGTGTCCTCACACCGAGCAGCAGCCACTAAATTATATGAAGTCACGAAGTAGCCTCTGCTCCCAGGTGGAGCTCTGAGCCTCCCAGAGCAAT